TTTGTACTGACCTTTCTTCGTGAGCGCGCGCGAGTAATCACGTTTGCAAAAAAATTTCGTGTGACTGACAGACAGGGACTTAGAATTTTGAAAAGGGCAATAAAGTCGAAGCATCTGGACAAGCAATGTAATTTTTCAAAATAAAATATTAATCTGATCGATAAAAATCACAAATCCTTATTGTGATTTCAGAGCATTTTATTGGGTGACTGTCACGTGATTGCCAATGATCTGCAGAACAAAATTTCGGACTGTTTGGTCTTTAGATGATATGCACCATACCTTAAAAAACAATCTGATGTAATCTCCACGTGATTCATTCATTAAATTTTCCCATCAGGCCTGCGCACTTCGTTCTTTCACACGTTGAAACGCAAACATGGCCACCGTCGAGGAAATCAAGCAACAACTGGAAAGAGCGAACAAGGAGTACGACGAACTAAATTATACACGCTTTGTCTTTAACGATCGCCTTATCTATACAGCATGATAAGGCTACAGCTCCGTCTCTTCCTGCGGCCCTGTGGCGAGGAAGCCGTGAGCTGCGCGTTCATGAACTGTATGCGGCCCTGTGGCGATATAGTTCCTCTGGCGCACCTTACATCAAATGCTATTGCGGCCCTGTGGCGGATAGCCTCTTTGTAGTAAGGTTACAGGTAAAACGGAACAATGCTGCGGCCCTGTGGCGAGCTTAGTTCTAAGATGGTCTTCAATCATAGTGTGCGGCCCTGTGGCGACAAATGATTTGAAGCCATGTTCAATATGTTGAATTTTTGATCGATTTTCTTCAAAATGTAGTCTGATCCTCCTAACTGTTTACATTTGATTTCTATTGATTTCTGTTCCCCAGTGAGTTTGACATTCTGACGTATGGTGAAATTGGTGGAAGTGATCAAGATGGCTTGGGTAATGCTCCAAACTACGGTCAGCGGATTTAATTGTCCTTTCGTCCTTTTTTTTTAATCACCGCTAATATGTTTTATTGCATTTTGCAATTTTTTGCGTCACGCCAAATGCACGACTATACACTGAAATTACCCATGTCGATCGTCAAAATCTATCACGCCAATCAGATTGGTGCAGCAGAGAAGAGGAGCGCGCGGAAGAGTTGTTGGAAAACGACAAGGAGAGCAAGAAGCAAGGGAAACAAGGAAAACACACAGACAGAGGAAGAAGAGAAGAGACACAAGAACGAGAGATTAGGCGAGAGAAGCATGGGTGAAAGAAAAGCCCTCTTCGGTCACCCGATCTTTGTTCTATTGCCTTCTGGCCCTTCTATTCTCCCTCCTCTCACACACACACCCGCATTACCCATTTCACTGCCTACCCCTCTTTTCCTTCTGTTCTCTTGTCCTCCCTCCTCTCGTTCTCCCTTATCTTCTTTCTTTGTGACGATAACTGCACTGCACAGTTCGGGAATTATATCACAATATGTAAGTTAATCACAAAATTGACTAATAAAGTTTTGGACGCACGATCGTACTTGTTTATCATAACCGATTCTCAAAGGTCGATGAACGTTCATTGATTGACAAACTACGTTCTGGTCTTATAATCAAGGTCATGTACATTTTGTGTAACCTGATTCATGGGCCAGTAATATAACCCCAGATTGATTAAAGATATTTTCCGAGAAAGAACCTTTTTCTGATACTAGCTCCATCGGAGAGTGGTCGATATAATTAAATTCTTTCTGCAGAGTGGTAGCACTGGAACAT